AGGGACGTCTGCCATGGAGCTGCTCTGCTGCAGACGCCGCAGGACATGCCCCTGCCAGGCTGCCCCGAGCCCTGGGAGTGGGTAGGTGCTCTTCAGCACATGCCACAGCCTGTCTGCTCCTGGTATCAGCACTCCCAACACAAGGTATTCATTTATGGTCATTTATACTTGGGGAAATGTTTACACATAGACATTTCCTTCGCTTCCCATAACATCATCCCTGTTTATCAGAGAAGAAAACAGAGACTTATAGAGGTCGAGTGATGCTCCCAGCAGTCTCCTAGAAGTGTGGTAAACTGAGAGTAGAGCCAAGTCTTCAGGTCCTGAAGCCCCTGGTTCTTTTATAGTGAGTGCAGGGCAGATGATACCTAATTATTCATAGTTTTTTTTGTTTTTTTTTTTTTTGGTACCGGGAATCGAACTCAGGATCTTGCACTTGCCAGGTAGGCACTTATGCCGCTGAGCTATATCTCTGGCCCTTCATGTTTATTCTTGCTTGGCCAATGGCTCAGTGAATTAAACTAGTAACAGCATATGTCACCAGGGAATTTACATAAAGGAAGGCACTATGTTATTTTTTTTTTAACTTTTCACTGCTGGGGACTGAACACAGGGTCTTGAGAATGCTAGGCAAGTGAGATACATCCCAGCCCCCTCCCTTTTTTTTCCCACCTTTTACAGTATTTTGAGACATGATCCTGCTGTGTTGCCCAGGGTGGCCTTGAACTTGTGATCCTCCTGCCTCAGCTTCCTGAGTAGCTGGGATTATAAGTGTGTGCCACAGGGCCCAGTTTGTGTTAAATATCTTACATCCTTTATCTCATTTAATCTTTATAATAATGACCTCTGAGGTAGGTATCATTTTAATTCTCATTCTACAGAAGAGAAAATAAGCATAGAGCGGTTAAATGACTTGCTCCAGGGCGCAGGTGGGTGACAGAGCTGGAACCTGCACCAGCTCTTGAGTCTCAGTTCTAGTCAGGACAGGTGTGGCACTGCTGCAGAGCAGAAGGGCCAGGCAAGGGGAGCCAGAACGACAAGGATGAGACTGAGACTATCCTGGCATCTGGTGAGCATCCAAACAGCGTGAGTCGGAGGTTGGGGCTGTAGCTCATGGTAGAACACTTGCTGAGAATTCCTGAGGCTCTGGTTCAATCCCCAGCACCACAAAACAAACAAAAAAGGTAAAACTAAACCTGACTGTTCAACACAAGTTACTCACTGCAGATTCTCAAGGGTCAGGTTGGTGGTCAGGGTTTTGTTTTGTTTTGTTTTTTTTTTTGTCTTTTTGAGAAGGTCTCACTCTGCAGTTCAGGCTGGCCTTGAACTCATTTTGTAGCCCAGTCTGGCCTCAAATTCACAGTGATCCTCCTGTCTCAGCCTCCCAAGTGCTGGGATCACAGGCATGCGCCACCACACTGGGCTGCATCTTCTTCTAGAGAAATTGTTTTTATTTTTTTGAGACAGTATGTGTGTAGTTTATCATGAACTCACTATTTAGCCCAGGTGGGCCCTGAACTCACAGCCATGCTCCTGCCTCAGCCTCCAAAATGCTGGGACTACAGACGTGCACCACCATGATGGCTCTTCCAGAGAAACTGTGCCTTAAAGAGAAAGACAGTAGAGCTACATGGGCTGGGGATATATAGCTCAGCAGCACAGCGCCTGCCTGGCTAGCTCAAGGTCCTGAGTTTGATTCCCAGTACCAAAAAACAAACAAACAAACAACAACAACAACAAAAAAACCTTGGATAGAAGAGATACTGCCCAAGGACCTAAGGTGCTTTGGACTCAGTCCTGCCTTCCACCCCATGTCCCACCAGTCCTCGCTCTCCCAAATGCCTTGTCATCTCTCTGAGACAGAGAGAGACAGAGACACAGAGAGAGACAGAAAAAGAAAGGAAGAGAAGAGAAAAGCAGGGAAGGAAGGGAAGGGGAGAGAGATCATGAGGGATCCTAGGGAGAAGGCACTGAAAGGGCAAGAGATGAACAAAGGAAGTGAACTGAGAGAGACAGAGAGTTCTGAGGGACGGAGCGAGATAGTTACCTGGTGCCCAGTGTCCGGCTGTCACAGCTTCAGGGGGAGAAGGGGAAGCAGACGGTCGGGCCCGGCGGAGGGCCTGGGCTGCTGCAGTATAGTGACGGGTGAGGGTCTGTGCTCTCGGCCTTCAGAGGAAGGGAGCCGGGGGAGCAGGACGGGTGGAATGGCCTTCGCCACACAGCAGCGGACACCTAAGTGCCCTCACACTGAAGTCACTGTGGCCAAGTGGCTGCTCCTTGGACACCGATGAACCTTGGTCTTTGGTGTGGAAGTGGGGTGGCTGGCCTGGAAGGCTTCTCCCACCCTTCTGGGGAAGGAGAGCTGCTAACATCTAGGTGGCCCCAGAGCTCCGCTGGGCTTTCAGACCCACTGCAGGGGGATGTGTAAGGCAGGGTGGGTGGGGGAGCCTTCCTGGCCACAAAGAAGATGCCCTCCTCCCACCCAGCGCCCATATTCCCAGTGGCCTCACCCCACCTTGTCCTCCCACGCCTGGAAGGTCCGCAGCAGCGCTGCATGGTCCGGCAGTCTGAGAGCCGCAACAGCCGGTGGGCCAGGCAGCCAGCGGCAGGTCCCAACCAGAGCTCGCCTAGGGACGGCTGGGGTGTCTGGGGGCTGAGGCTGGGCAGCGGAGGTGCAAGGAACGGATCTCACGCAGGGACAGCTGAGGAGCAGGAGAGACAAGAGGCCTGGCGAGGAGGGGCAAAGTGGGGGACAGAAAACAGTCACAGCGCAGCACAGCTGCAGGGGTGCGGGTCGCTGAGAGGCAGGAGAGGGAGATGCAGGACCAGGAGGAGAGGAGGTAAACCTGGGGGAAGGCGTTGGGAGGCTTCTGCGACTCACACCCGCCCCCAGGGAAGAGCCAGGAAAGCCCATGATGGGAGGAGACAGGAAGCAACAGCTCTCAGGTCCCAGCAGCCAAGTGCTAACCAAGTCCTAGGGCCTCCAAAACCTCCGGCTTCCTCTGAAACACCCCCAGTGACCAATCTGACTCAGGGTCCCGCTTGACCTAAAGCTGAATGAGGGCGACCTCATCACGGGGTTCACCTCTAGCGCTCACTCAGCAGAAGCAGGGCCTGACGGTAGGTATCCCTAAATGCCATCGTCTTGCCTGGGGCTCCAGGGGGTGGACGCCAGGGAGCAAGCAGGGCAGACCCGCCTGAGCAGGGATGCACTGGTTCCCTGTAGGGCAGAAAGCGCGGCTCTGAACTGGGGCTCTGACCGCTCCTGCAAGAAGTGGAGGCCCAGCCAGCAGCCCCGGGGGCTGAGCTGCAGAAAGTTCTCCAGAGGGAGGTGGGAGGCTGGGGCAGCACTGCCCACAGCAGCTCTGGGGCCAGGCAGAGCTTCCTCAGATAACTCATTCCTGAGCTGCGGTCCCCCGTGACAGCTAGGCTGGGGAGAGCAACGGGGCTTAACTCTGCCTGGATCCAGCTGTTGTCCCCTAACCCTCTACAGCTGCTCACAGGCAGCAAGGAGACTCTGGCTGGCTTAACAGAGAGGCGCTCTGGCAGGGGCTGCTCCAGCGGATGAGGTTGGTCTGACTCTGCAGGAGCAGGGGGAGCGGTGCTTACACGCTGTCATTCACAAACAGGGATGGCGGGAAGTGCGTCGGGTCCGAGACAGCCAGAAAGAGGGTGAGTGGAGAGGGTCAGCGAGGACCTGGGAGGTGGGCACAGGTACTGCAGAGCAGCAGGGCTGTCAGGTGAACCATGGGCTGCTCCGGGGTGGTGGTGCCTGGGGCAGGGGCACAGGAATGGATGTGAGTTCTGGAGACATTCAGTATCCTGCCACCTCCTCTCTGGAGTTCCTCCGCCCATTAAGGCAAACCCTCTGAACACTAGACTGCAGGTGCCCTCGCCCACCGGGCTCACCTCTTCCTCCACGCCCGCCTGCAGCTGGGCCCAGGAACGACGCCTGAGTGTCAGGAAGCCCTGCACAGACCCCATCTCTGCTGAAAGCACCAGCTGCTGGAGATTTCCGGGGGACATGTACAAGCAAACCCGGGGGCAGGAGGTCCTAGTGGGCAGGGACCTCAGGCCACGGCTGTCACCCAGCCCATGCAGGTGCCCCTCTACTCTAACAGCACTAGAATCTGCAAGGCCCAGGAGCTTCTCCCCAGGGAGATCACTCACACGGAAGCAGGGCAGGAGCTCCTCCAGGGCTGAGGCTGACCGGGGTGGAAGCCCGCTGGAGTTGGCTGCTCCTGCTGAATTCTTCCTGACCATCCGCAGCGCACTGTGCCGGCCGTCTAGCAGGAAGGCGTCACAGAAGCGGCAGTTGTCTAGGAGACTGCAGAGCAGCAGAACCTGACATAGCACCCTGGGCCTTCGCCCCTCCACCCCTTGGACTCAAGAGGAAGGTCAGTAGGCACAGGCATGGGGGTGGGCAACGGCTGGCACAGAGGCCTGGCACCATGGCAACTGGGAAAGTAAGCCCAAGGGGAAGGGGCCAGGGCCCACACAGCGTGGGGATGGCCTCAGAGGGGGCAGAGAAGGTCAAAGTGTGTCCAGAAGCCCTTCTGGAAAGCAAGCATCAAGCTGGGCCTGGTGGCATACACCTGTAATCGCAGCACTTGGGAGGCTGAGGCAGGAGGATCTTTGTGAGTTCAAGACCAGCCTGAGATACAAAGTGAGCTCAAGGCCAGCCTGAACTGCATAGTGAGACCCTGTCTCAAAAAGACCAAAAGAAAGAAAGAAAGAAAGAAAGCATCATTGTTCCCACAACCTATCCTGCATTAGCCTGTTAGCCAAGGCTAGAAGGACACCACTGCCTCGTCCATGGTGTCACTGGCAGAGACCATCAGCAGAAGCTGCCCCCACCTGGGCAGCGGTCCCCACAGGGCCTAGCACACATGCCTGGCACAAGCCTGGTTGCTGGGGGCACAGCCTGCAGATGCCCCAGCTCGGCCCACACAGTCACATTCCCTAAGAAGCAGTCCCAGGAGATCTCTGGAGGGAAAGTGTTAGGGGCAGCCCAGGGCAGGATGAGAGGAGGGGTTGCGGGTGCTGGTAGCGGGTGGGAAGTGACCAGCACAGAGCTGTTTTCCCACGTGGCAGTTGGGACCGGCCAGGGCCGAAAAGGAGAGGTTACTACAGACCGCATCCACAAACCGACCAGAAAACTGGTCACGGCAAGCCTGCAGCCAGCGCTGGGCACCTGGTGCTTGTGAGACTGCGTACCACACAGCTGTCGGGCAGATGCAGCAATGCTGGGAGGGGTGGACGGCAGGCTCGGTGTGCTGGCACAGCAAGCGGATGGAGAAGCTGGCAATGCTCCAGGGTGGTGGGGGCCTGGGTGGTCCTCGCAGAGGGCCTCCGCGGAGGTGGCTCGCCATTGTCTGGGAGGCCCTGGGCAGGGGCACACCAGTGCTCAGGCAGTGGAGGAGTGCAGGGGTCCGGACAGAAAGCTCAGTGCCTGCACGTCCCAGGAAAGGGTGTGCTGGGTGTCCCTGGTGTGGAGGGAGGGGCAGGCTGGATCTGGGCACTACACACTTCTTCCAGTTGAAGATTCCTGAGAGCTGGAGATATAGCTCAGTGGCACAAACACCTGCCTGGCAAGCACAAGGTCCTGAGTTTGATTTCTGGTACCCAAAAACAAAAACAAAAACAAAAACCCCCAGCTGAAGATTCTGACCCTGGCTCAGAGTCCTGAAGTATTGTGGCAACCATAGGCTTTTCCAAAAGTGAGGCACCTGCAAGTTTAGATGTTATAGGTATCAATGCTGAGACGGGGAGAGGGGAGAGAGAGCTGTGCTACCAGACACAAAACCACCTAGGAGCCCAGCATCTTGACGCACGCCTGTAGTCCCAGCACTTGGGAGGCTGAGGCAGGAGGCTCGATGCAAGTTGGAAACCAGCCTGGGCTACAACGTGAGCTCCAGGCCAGCCTGAACTGCATAGTGAGTCCCTGTCTCAAAAAGACAAAAAAAAAAAAGCAAAAAAACCACCTAGGAGCAGCCCCAGCTAGATTTCCTCTATCCTCCTGACCCTCTCCTTTCTCTCTCTCTTTTTTCATCTGTTGTGTTTGTTGTGTTTTTTATGTTTTTGAGAAGGGTCACACTATGTAGTTCAGGCTGGCCTCGAACTCAGAGCAGTCCTCTTGTCTCAGCCTCTCGAGCGCTGGGATTACAGGCGTGTGCAACCATGCTCGGCCTTCATCTGGTTTTAGATAGGTTAAACACAGCTTTTGTTTGGCCCCATATCAGGAAATCTGCCTGGCAGCTGAAAATGTCCACACTCTGGCCCTGTTGTACTGAATTAGTGAGAGGATGGAGGAATCTAGTCTTGTTTGTTTTTTCCATACTCCACTTTTATTAGCTAACATTTATTAAACACCATGTGCCAGGCACTGTTCTAATTTACACAGTTGGCATTAACTCATTTAATCCCATGCAACACTATAGTAGCTACTATTATTACCACATTATTTCACAAATGGGAAAAATGAGACACACAAAAAAGAAGCCATACTCCAAAAGCCCTAAACCACACTCCTCTCAGCTGGTTTCTCCTCAGCTCTGGAGACCGCTGCTTTCAGCTCTCCACCTCCAGATTTCCCAAACCCACAGCCTCAGAGCTGGTCTTTTGTTACTTCCTTAAGAGCAACTGTTGGGAAGTTTTAGGTCATGTATATTTTATCACAATAAAGCAAAAAAAAAAAAAAAAAAAAAGAGCAAACCAGGCATGGTGGCTCACGCCTGTAATCCCTGCACTCAAGAGGATGAGGCAGGAGGATTGCTGTGAGTTCGAGACCAGCCTGGACTACATAGTTCAAGGCCAGCTTGTACTACATAGTGAGACTCTGTCTCAAAAAGGAAAAAAAAAAAAAAAAAAAAAAGAGCAGCTGTTAAAGATTACCTAGGAGGGAAAGAGCACTCTTCTTGTCCTGCCACTGCCCAGCCCCAGTCTTGGCATGTCTCACCCCTTTGGCATTGCCCACTGGCATCAGGCTCTGGCTGGCTCAGAGTGGAGAGAGCTCATCTTGCAAGGAGTGTCTCGGAGCAGCCCCTCTTGGAAGGCAATGTGGATAGGGTCTCCCCACTGCACATAGCAGACCACCCCAAAGAGCCTTCTCAGAGCCCAGCTCCCTTGGTGGGGTAAGCAGGCTCCACAAACCCTGCAAAAAGTAAGGGGTAGCTCCCTTACCCTTGAGACCTGTGGCCCAGGTCCAGACAGGGTCCACACTGGACTGCCTCTGCTGCCCACGGTGCCCCCAGCCCCAGCAGTAGCAGCAGAGGAAACAGCCGTCAGCAGCCAGGACGCAATCAGAGGGCCCATCCGGGTACCTGGGGCCCTATCGGGACTGCATCGCCCCCAGGAACCAAGACTACCACCAGCACCTCCATGAGTCCACCCACAACACCTGCCTGATACGCCAGGAAGTCCCAGGGAGTCTGCTCCTGTCCTGGCAGTGCCAGCACATCCCCAGGAGTCCTAGCATTGGCTCCCATTCCAGACTGCTCCTCGGTGTCATGAGGAAATCAGAGAGCTGGAGGCTGGGGAGCTGGAGAGGTGGGCGCCTCCACATGTCCCTTCCCGGCTCTCCCAGGCTCAAAGGAAGAAGAAATGGTGGTCAGGGACACAGAACTCTGGGAGTGGCTGAAGGAACAGTGGGAGCTTGGTCCAGAGTGGAGAGGAACGACGTCAGGAGGGACAGATCAAGGCCTAGGGACTGAGAAACCCAGAGGTCTCTAAAGGGTAGGGAGGGATCGAGGGCCCTGCCTCTGAGCACAGTTCTCTGCCTGGATCTAACGGTGCGGCGAGCGCACGTTCAGCTGAGCCCCTTCACCGGCCCGTGGTAAGTCCTGGCCTGCTTTCTTAGCACTTGTTGTAGCCAGTAGTACCAGTCTCTGTCCCTCTTCCTTGTCCCTTTAGCTTTTCTCTAGCTGCTTAGCCTCCATCTTCTTAAGTGTCTTTTCTAGCAACACCCCCTTCAACCCCAGACCTGCTCGCTCTCCCCTCACCTGGGCAGCAGCAGTAGCAACAGCAGCAGGAGGGACCAGAGCCAGGTTTCCAGGGGAGCGCTGGGATTAGAAGTGAGTTCTGGTTATTCTCGTCCCCTGGGGGACAGCAGGCGGCGGTGGGTACAGGGCACTTCAGGCAGCCTGAGGTTCCACTGAAGCTGTAGTGTGGTCCTTCAGGAAGCAGTATCATAACCTGACAAGTTTGTCACCTGAGCCACTGCATGCCTGATCCTCTGGCTCTGGAGAAGGCCGTGCTTCTATAAAGGATTGGGAGGCAGAAGGGCTTGAGCTAGGAGCAAGGGACGCAAGAAGGAAGCAGACATGGAGATGGAGAATTGGGAACGGTTGTACTGTAGTCCTATGAAAACCAAAGGGGTTGATGACTGTGAAACAGCCTCACTTCCAAAACCTCTAGCAATGTCCGATTCTCTTTTTTTTTTTTTTTTTTTTTCCTTTTTGAGGCAGGGTCTCACTGTGCAGTTCAGGCTGGCCTTGAGTTCACTCTGTAGCCCAGGCTGGTCTCGAACTTCCAGTGATCCTCCTGCCTCAGCCTCCCAAGTGCTGGGATTACAGGCACACCCAACACGCCCAACTGTCTTTTCTTTTTTAGTTTGCCTTTTGTAACTGAGATATTTATTGCTTATTAGCTAAGTAGTCCCCACAATTTCCAGGTCCCTTGCAGGCAAGTGACCTCAGGGGATTGGCTGTGTCTAGTGAATTATAACTGACTACACACTTGAACCCCTTGAACCTCTCTGACAATCTTTCCTTTGTCCAGGCAACCTGGAAACTTCATGTTGAAATGACAGCGTCATAAGACCAAAGTAGCCTGAAGTTCCAAATAACCTCCAACATTTAGAGTGGATCCTCACCATGTGTAAGTTCTATACTGTGAATTTGCTGAGGCACTAACTTTATTGAAGCCCCGAAGTCAATACCTGCAGCATTTTAAAAGTCACCTGGAGGGCTTGAGCCAAATAACAGACATATGCAGGACGCTGGAAAGTTTGAGTCACTTGACACACACATTCCCAGTTGAGGTCCAACAAAGCAGTGTTTCTGCCATCTTGTTTCAGCTCTCATACTATAAATCAGTGTCCTTTTGCAGCCTGGTGTCACATTTTTTTAGATTTTTACTCTTTTTGTTGGAAATTTCACTGTTTAAAAATGGCCCCCTTGGCCAAGCATGGTGGTCACTCCTGTAATTCCAGCACTCGGGAGGCTGAGGCAGGAGGATTGTTGTGAGTTCAAGGCCAGCCTGGACCATAAAGTGAGCTCAAGGTCAGCCTGGACTGCAGAGCAAGACCCCGTCTCAAAAAAAAAAAAAAAAAAATGGCCCTCAGCTGGGTGTGGTGGCGCACACCTGTAATCTCAGCACTCAGAAGGCTGATGCAGGAGGATTACCACAAGTTTGAGGCCAACCTGGGCTACATAGTGACACCCTGTCTCAAAAAAAAAGCCCTCAAACTTAAGGCTAAGGGGCTGGGGATTTAGCTCAGCGGCAAAAGCGCCTGCCTGGCAAGCGCAAGGTCGTGAGTTCAGTTCCCAGTACCGGAGAAAAACCAAAAAAAACAAAAAAAAAAAAAACAAAAAAAACCTTAAGGCTAAAAGGCTGTATGATGTTCCTACTTGTAAGAAGTCTGTTACACATTACAGAGAATAATAAACTTCATTCAGGTGCAAATGAGCTGATGGCCATGACTTCAATGTCAATAAATAACATATACTGTAAATATGTATGTGTGTGTGTGTGTGTGTGTGTGTGTGTTTGAGACAGAGTCTCGTTGTATAGTCCAGGCTGGCCTTGAACTCACTGTATAGCCCAGGCTGGCCTCAAACTTTCTGTGGCGATCCTCCTGTCTCCTGACATCTGGGATTTCAGACATGTACACCATGCCCAGTTTAAATCACATATATTAAATAGGTATCTATAAAAAGAAACACACAAAAACAAGGTTATATATGATAATTTGCTAAAAACGTAGCTGGGCAAATGGAAATGTCCAGTAGGTACCTGGATACTGTAGTTCTCCTGAAGTTTGTATGTGTGTGTGTGTGTGTGTACATGTATGTGTCTTTTTGAGACAGGGATTCATTATGCAGTTCAGGCTGGCCTTGAGCTCACTTTGTAGCCCAGGCTGGTCTTGAACTCACAGGGATCCTCCTGCCCCAGGCTCCCGAGTGCTGGGGTTACAGGGGTGCGCCACCACACCAGGCAGTTGCACTGACCTTTCAAGGGCCCAACCTTTTCTGACTGCCTATACTATTTCTATCTAATTTAGCTCTCCATAACACTGGGACTACAGGCGTGGGCCACCACACCTGGCACTCCCTGAGGTTTTAAAGAGAGGTCTGTGCTGAAAATGGAATTGAAGGTCATTAGCATACATTGCATGGTAGTTTGAAACAATAAAATGGATAAAGCTAGTGAGAGTTGTAGAGCACGAGCAAAAATAACCGAGAACCATACACTCAAAGCTTGGAAAGATGGCCAGCAATGAAAGTGGAGGGACTTGGTAACATACGCCTGTAATCCCAGCACTGGGAGGCTGAGACAAGAGGATTGCTGTGAGTTTGACACCAGCCTGGGCAACACAGGAGTCCAAGTCCAGCCTTATCTACACGTTAAGACCTTGTCTCGAAAAGAAAGAAAGGCAGAGAGAGAGAGAGAGAAACAAAGACACAAAGAAAGAGAGAGAAAGGGAGAGAGAAAGAGAAAGACAGAAAGAAAGAAGGAAGGAAGGGAAAATTGGAGAAAAGCCATCAAAGGAAAACCTAAAAAGAGGTCATGTAGCCAAAAAAGTAAAAACTTTCAATGAAGGCTCACGGTCAAAACAATGCGAGGACTTTGGGGAGAATGGCAGAGCGGTATGTGACAAAAACTCTTCTCTGTGATTCGGAATCCAGACACTGGAGAATGACGATTGAGCGCAGTAAAAAAGAGAAAAGCAGATCCGCAGGAACCGGGAAGGCTCTGACAGGAAAATTAAAACCTACGGAGAAACTGAAGAGATGGAACACAGTTGGGGGAAGGGAAAGGACAATCTGCACTTTCTCTCTGGCTCTGGGCTGGGCTAGAGGCTCATAGGAAAGGGACACTGAATCTAAGACACGGTGAGGGCTGGGGGTGCCTGAGGGCTTCAGAGAGAAATGTGGGGGAGCAGGCTGGCAGGTGCTCTGACGTGCAGGGAGAGCATAGGATTCTGCTCTCACAGGAGTCTCTTAACAAGCAAGAGCTGGTGTGTGACTGCAGTGCAAGCACCTCCCATATGTCCAGAGAGAGAGAGAGAGAGTGCTTGGTTGGACGCCGTTGCAGAGAAGGGTTCATGTTTAAACCCCGGACTCAGAGCAGCCTCAGAAGGGCTTCACTTCAGGGCTCCCAGTGCTGTGCTCCGACAGTGACTGGGTAAGAAGTAGCCTGAGGAGACCACCACAGTCAGGGAGCAGGCTGAAAGAAGCACCCTGAGGGGTGGGGCTAAATGACACAGGCCCTGCCCCGACGGCCAGAGGCCAAGCTCAGCCTGAGTAGCTCTGGATTTGAAAGTCACCACACTGATGCCTTCACCCTAATCCGACTGCCTGCTGGCACCTGTATCCAGCACGGGTCTGGGGTCTGACCGCCTTCTTTATCCCTGTGAGTAGGGACATGTCTTAACTTGGACACTGCCCCAAATTTGTAGATCCCAGAAGAAGACCGCACATTCTCAACCACAGAAAAAATTTTCTTTTTGAGTGTGAGCATTTTGTTTGTTTTTTTGTTTTGAGACAAGGTCTCACTATGTAGTTCAGGTAGCCCAGGCTGGTCTCTAACTCATGGCTATTCTCCTGTCTCAGCCTCCTGACTGCTAGGATTGCAGAGGTGCCCCACCATGCCTGGCTGTTGTTTTGTTTTGCTCTTTATTTTCCTTCTTTCCTCCTTTCTTCTTCACCAGTTTATTGGGCTTTGGGGAATTTCATTTTGTCCTCCCCCCCCATCTTATCTTTTTCTTACTTTTTTCCTCTTCTGCCTTTTAATTTTCTTCCTTTAATTTTTTCTCTTATTTTTACTCCTCATATATTCTTTCTGCCTCCCTCTTTTTCTTTTATCTTCTATTTCCCATCAGTTTTTGCTCTTACCTTTACTTAATACTATAAACACCCTTCTATTCCCCTATAGGATCTTTTGTACCATTTCTCTCTTCTTTTCATATCATATAGTTTAAAGTTTTAGCTGGGCATGGTGGCGCACACCTGTAATCCCAGCACTCAGGAGGCTGAGGCAGGAGGATAGCTGCGAGTTCAAAACCAGTGAGCTCAAGGCCAGCCTGAACTGCATACGGAGACCCTGTCTCAAAAAGACAAAAAAATTAAAAATTTTTTTAAAAACTAAAGTTTCAGATTTTTCCTCTTGTATTCCCCTATCCCCAAAGCCCTATATCTTTAGCCACTTACCAGTGCAATTATTTAAACACAGACTGACCAAAAATTGCTTAGTTTTCATTAATTTT